AACGGCACTAATGGAACAATGGAACTAGAGCTTTGAAAGTGTGAACAGAACCTTTTTTGAAAAATTGAGTTATTATAACAATTATCATCAATTATCACATTATAATCGAAACTGAAAAGAATAAAATTATACTTCACAAACATTGCCAGAAAAAAAGGCATTAAATGCGACTTACCCTAATTCTGTAATGGCTTGTTTCTGTATTGACAAACTGACAAAATAATTAAAAAAATAATTTAATTCTGTGCAGTCCAATAACAAACCTTACGTCACGGATGGTGTCATTACTGCTCTACTGCTCGCCAAAATAATTTGATTAAATTTACTATACAGGATAGAGGCAGAGGAAATAAACAACCAAACAAGTACACTCATTCACTAATGAGATGAGACTGTGACACTCACTGGAGAATAAGGTCATCTTGGGATTTACCTGAATCAATGAGCCAAAAAGAAGGATGCTGTGTTCACCTTAGCTAACTGTCAGAGGAACACGTCACCTCTGTTCAATTTAAGAGACAGACACGTACAATAAGTCCTTCAGGTTTCAAAATGAACTAGAACAATTTGTTGCAAAAATAAAATATTATTAGCTATAATTATACATTATACAAATATTATTATATTACAGCAACACCTAGTTCTTTGTACTATTGCTACAGATATCACACTGTAACCAGAAATGCATAGGTTTAAAATGAAGTGCAACAGTCTAGCTGTTTACCCAGACATTATCTCTCTGTAACGCACATTCCATAAGCCTTGCTGTTATGTGTACCCGCAAAACAACGGGTTTTTTTTTTATCAGTCAACAATTATGCAATGCAAAATTCAGTTTGTGTGTGTGTGTGTGTGTGTGTATGTGGCAAGTTTTGATGAATGACACTGAAGGTTCTTTGGAAAAAAGATTTGGTTAAAACGTGTTGACACGAGGAAATTCAGGTCCAGGGAAGTATTGAAATGTAGCATGACCTGTGTAAACAATGCATCTTCTACTGGCATTAAAACCCATCTATAAATTATATCCTTGAAGTATCTTTGATAACAAGGCCTCTCTTCAACAAGAGAATCTAAATAATCATTTTAATGCAAAAGTACAAAATTTTCCAAAATCAAGTTATATCCCAAGGATAAAACTGACATGGGTTGACAACATCAAAACTGTAATGCTATCCAGCCTACAAACCAGAGCAAATGTGGATTGTAAATAAAATACGCTTTTGCTGTAGTGTGTTTTACATCACCACAAAAACAAAACATCAACAACAAGGAGGTACATGGCCCTGTTTCAAACCACTCCACCTAACTGGAGAGTGGACACCCACAATTGCTGAAGGCCAGCGTAGGAGAAAACAGCTGCAGACAAAAAAGATCCACCCCCTCAAAGAATGCCAAGGCAGAATCCCCAAAACAGCCTTTGGGTTGGGCTCCATTGCGAGACCTTTCACACCAGACAGGGATTAGTGACGTAGAAGAACATAAGCAGAAACAGGCTGGGCAAATTACTTTGAAAAAACACAGTGAGTGATGATAGCTTCAATCCTTTTTTTGTTTGTTTTTTTTTACAAAATTATAAAAGCACCTTGCAGGCCCAAATAAACAACAGTGGCATCAATCTTTAGCTGGTACACACAGACCATTCCATCAGAAAGACCTGTGTCCTACAGCTAATGTGCAGGAGGCCATTACTCAATACCTTATTAATAAACCATTTCATTGTCACTCTTATTCGTCTATAATACAACACCCTGTAGATTACCTACACAGAGGGAAAGCAGATAGTGTAGAGGCAGCGTTGAAGGAAATCAATGCTTTGCTTTTTAGAGTGTTGTACGCTCTAAATGCACTGACATGTCCTAAGCTCTTTTTTCTGCTGGTTTGTATTGTTTAAACCTAATGGATGGAGCAGTAAAAGCACTCCAAACCTTGTGTTGCAGCACTGCACTTTCAGCTGTTTGTAAAGCCCATCAATTGTATCTGTAACTGAAGAGAAGACCTTGAAATCGACAGGCACTTCATTACAGCTAACCCTGAATGGTTTCAGTATTTGAGAAAGTGTTTTGTAAGGTGGCAAATGTCATAAAAATGGTAACTACTACTATCCAGTAAAGAGCTAGAGTAGATGGAACTGAAATGTACATCCCAGAATCAAAACAAAAAAGGAATTGAAAACAAAAACATTGGGTTGTGGGTTAGTTTCACATGACATCACTGTTCAACCACAAACTTCATCTTCACAGTAAACCATCATTGTTCTTTTGGGAAAAGATCCACTTCATATTCTTACGCTTATACCAAAGAAGCAGCCGGCAGGCAGGCATATACACACATACACAGAGTCATGCACGTCGACTATGGAGGAAAAACCCTCCCCTTGCAAGCCCACTTTTCCACCAATGAGTTGAACAGATCTAGGTCATCACTGATTAATGTGCCCACAGATCCCAAGAGGTTTCTGGTCAGGTGGCAGCAGTGTCTGCTCACCGACTATGAATACTGATGCAGGCTTTTACAACATCTCTGCTGTGCTCGATATTAAACTGTGTCTTCAGAATAACATCGAGGTACTATGGATCAAGGCTGTGTTTAAACTACACTAATCAGATTTCCTCTCCTCAGATCTGATCTTTCCTGGCAGACTGTCAACACTGTTAATTGCGAGTGATCAAATCGGTTGCTTGTCCACATAATAATCAACCTGTCTGCGGGGGTTGCTTTGGCAACGACATACCGTATCGGTGCCTGCCTTGTGGTTTTCAAACACAGATGCATCACGCAATAAAATCATGTTGCTCTTCAAACAATGGCTCTTGTCAAATCAGAATATTGAACTGGTGCTGCACAAGTAAACACCAAATTAATTCTATTTTTTACACACATTTAATGAAGTTGAACATTATCAAACAACAGAAGGTTTAATCATGTTTGGTTTGACTATTGTAAATGTTCAATGAGTCATACAGTATGGTAAAGTAAAACACCTTCAAGGTAGGCAATTTGCAATGTGGAACATTTTTAAAGTAAACACCACTACCTAATTAACATTGTTTTTATCACTCACCTAGCTCGTGGGGTAAGCCACTTTAAAACTTGATCAGAGAAACAACTGCATTCAAAGGTACTTTAAAGGATGATGATATTTATCCACCAAGGTGTTTGTTCTCATTCCTCATCTGATTTTTAATCTGTTTCCTGTGTCTTTGGGTTTATTCACACTTTACTGACTTTAATTCGCTTGTGCAAATTTATTGAAAAATGAGGGTTCATGTGATTTTTAATAATCACAGGACTTTACATATTACATTGACAAGATCGTCTTTTCATAGGGAGCATGAAAGACGTCAGTGATGACGTTGTAACAGCAAATATTTCTGTGGTATTTCAAAACAAGGCTAACTGCTGAGTCCAACTCCTCATTGCTCCACATAGGCTCCTCTACGTTTGGCTAGTATTCCTGTAATCTTCTATTCCTGTATCTGGAATTTGTCAATTAGATAATTTGTAAAGATAATTACATGATTAATCTTCATGTCTCTATTTTGGTATGTTGCTGATCTATTTTTGTAATTTACCAGATTTCCTATGTAGGGAGTGTGAGAGCCCAGTGTCCTCGTTGGAGTGCAGTTTAAAGCATTCATAAATAAACAATAATAAGAGTTATCCCAATTTCTTTCACTTGTGCAATCGCCCACATGTTCATGTTCACCAATAAGCGTCCCTGCATTAGTTGTTTATCCAAGACTCCAGTCTTGCTCTGCCATCTGTATGGTATGGTATGGTGCTACAGTGATGTGACTGATTAAGGAACAGGATCATTTAGTTTTACAGGAGCAGGAAATGTTAGGTGATGTTTTTGTGGCTATTGCAGGAGAGCTAGAGAGACAGAAGTGTATTTGCCAGTCACTATTCACTATAAACTGAATTTTTTTTCTGATTTACACGGCAATAGATAGTTTATGAATACAGTTTATAAATACAAATCCCACAATTACACAATTATACCAACAGTACCAAAGGAGCAACAACACAAGGATTTGCCTAAACCTCAATTAACAAGTCATGAAAACCCCAGTCCAACCAGTCAGTCTGCTCAGGTGAATTGTCCTTCTAGGAACCACTTTCAAAATAATCTTCTAATCTAGACCATGAAAAAAAACTAAATTTCTGGCAGTGTGAACAAGTTATGTAGACACACAAGTGACAATCAAAACAGTTTCACCCCCATGTGATGACTGCTGCATCAGCAGTGAGTGGGTGCATGTTTGTTGTGGTGTTTGGGTCTGTATGTGACCCGTTAGCCAACGCTGGAGACATTTAACAACTTCACTGACGTGAATGTCAAATGTCCAGTCTGCTGATGAGATGAATCCCGTTAGCTCCCGCTGCCACCGACACATAACTGCTCAAAGATGACAAGGATGTATGCAATGAGACGAGTGCCATCCGTCTCACCTTATTTATAGATAGTTATGCTGATATTGTGTGGTATGCATTCCGTAAAGCAGTTCAAACACGGGTCATAAGGATCACAAGAGAATGTAATGTGAGAAAAGTTTTAAAAGATCGTGGCTTCGAAAATCAGACAAGTCGACTCAACTTTGTAAGACAGTTACAATCGAAATTGAAATTTAACAAATGTCAACGATTACACAGTTGAGATCAAAGTATTCATGCAAATATGACAATAAATCGATCAATATTTTATCACGTGGCGTATTTATTAAGAGAAATAAATAGGCCAAAATGCGACTTGTGTATAATATGACAAAACACTGGCACAAATGGCTATGTAGCTTTTTTAGCCTTAGTGCTAGTTAGCATGCTAGTTAGCCACTCTACCAGTGTTTTGGTTTAAGTGTATCTGTGTGTAGCTCTGTTAAAGCTCAACGTTGCTGTCACCGTGGCTGTTGTTTGTCCAAGGTTGTGATAATTTGATTAAACGATGTTGTGATTTGTACGCCGCGGTTTGCGTTTTTTTCACAAAACACTGTTAACGTTACCTCGGAACGCAGCTTGGGGATGATCGGTCTATCTCCCAGGTCGCAAAGAGGTTCATAGGTACAGGCATGGTGCTGGATCCCGAGCCGGAGCCCAGGACCACAGCCCCGGCCAACGCTCCGGTCGGCAGGCTGGTCGGTGCTGCTCCACCACCGCTGCTCGGGTTCAGGAAAGCGGCCCGGACGCCTCCTCTCTCTACAGCCGCCGCCATCATCACCTCCACTGCCTGGGGAGCAGATCTGGCTGAGTGTCGGACGAACGCGGGTGCCGCTGAACTCTGCGATGCCTGCTCCTGCTCCTGCTCCTCCGGACTTCCAGCTCCTCTACGCTGCCCGGAGATGCTGATAGGCGGGGCGGGGCATGTTTCTGCTGATAGAGGGCAGCACGTCCCTGCTTCTGGGGTGGGACGTCTTAGTTGATGGGTTGGTGACGGGGTTTCAAGGTAGTTGGGATCCATAACATTGCATTATTGACATTTAAAAGTCGAAGTGTGTATGGATTGTATTGTTTGTTTTTTCGTTATATAATGAGATCATTATCAGTCCTTTAATCAAACGTTTTAGTTCTTAAAAAATATTCTGTTGCACTTCAAAGGATTCAGTCTATCCCGGTCACTAGTCCTTCATTTTAATAATAATATCAGGTCAATTATATGTTTAACGTTGACGTACAACACGTGAGAGTCACGTTATATTATGCCAGATTCAGTTTACATAAAGGAAGGTGACGTTTATATAATTTTGGTGACTTTAATACACATTTACCTCAAATTAGTCATTCATTTATTTCTTCATTATGTCTCTTGTCTTACCACTGTGTTTTTACATTGTTTACCCCCCATACCTTTTGTGCTTGAATGAATTCGTTCATCATGAGAGGTCAGGGCAGCAAGAAAAAAACTGTCAGATTGTAATCACAAAAACATGTTATGACACGACTTTAAGGCATCTTTAAAAGTCAAGGTGACAAGTTTTAGCTATGAAGCTATGAAAAGAAATTATTTTATTTCCATTATAACACAATATTTTCAATTCCCCTTAGAACTTTTTCACAGGGTAATGTTGCAATTTTCTTTTGATTATAGTGGACCATTAAACACTTCAGTGGTTGTGAAGTGAACCATAGTGAATACTTTTCAGTAAATCTATAATTGGGAGCTGCAGATACCATACAAATGTATTGTTGTTTCTTAACTCAGTGAGCACTTAACTTAATGTAAGGCCCATTCCCCCAAAGTGGTACATTTATATGCAAAACCCTCATGCGTTTCAAACACTATAGTAAAATCGATGTTAGACAAAACATCATGGGTTTAACCCTAAACGCAAGCAATATTGTACTAAACTTTATAACTTTACAAAACGTTCAAAGGATGCAAACACTACACATTGTATCATATTTGACTGTAAACGATTACGATGAGCAAAAATGTAAATGTATAATTTAACACAAAACATGTCAGTGTAGTCAAAACAACCTGAAGAATCAGCCTGAGGTAAAAACACTAATATATGTACAACCAGAGTACATACTGTTCATCCGTGTATTTACCTTACACACATCACAAATGTAATATACAAAAACTCTTCATCTTCTATAAACAGCAGACAGTAGGTAAAGAAAAGGAAATCCAAATAGTTAAAAATATCTAAATAACTTCGTGTTACCTTCCTTCTGGAACACACGAGTTGACATGAGTTCTACAGTACCTTTACCTACAATTCATGACTACGTTTGTAAAAAGATAAATAAATAAAACTTTTAAAAGACCAGTGAATAGGTGAAGTGCAGTGTCATCTAGCGACCAGAAGTAGTAGTACAACAAATTGAGATATGACTAAACATTACAAATTGCACACTGTGATTCATCCGATAGATGGCAGAGTGTCTGCATTTATGGTTCAGGCACGTCAAACGACACGTTCTCTCTCATTCTCTCTTATTCTCCTGCGTCTACTCACTGCATCTCCTCACGGAGCCTCTTCCTCTTATAAAGTGAGTGGGTGGAAACATGTATCGCCTTAATGTGACACCATTGATGTTTCCACAACAGTGGAACAGTGCAACACTTTAAAAGGCAGCCACTACATTCAGAGCACTCTGGAATATAAAACGCACAAACACTACTGTAGTTTAAATGTAGGACTCGCTCCAAAGAATACGTTTTCCACACATTCAAAAAGAAGATGAAGCACACCAGAGAATGCTTGAAAATGGATTAATCTGACTCCATTATTAGCCATCAACAATAATATTAATTAGTTACCTCAGGTAGCACCATATTGTTCTTTCACATACTGAAAACCACAGATTTTTCATTATGAAGGTATGATGAGAAGTCCCTGCTGTTTCCAGGCAGAGTTTTATTTTTAGGCGTTTTGTTTTAGGATTGTGACATTGTTTGTGTGCCGCCCCCTCACCCATCAAAGTCTGGCACGGAGCAAACCTTTGATTACAAGCTTAAAACAAACCCGTTTCTGAACTACTGTCTGAGGGGTTTGTGGTTCCAGTCATGCTCCAGAGTAAATTTAAAATGTGACTGACATTAGAGGACCAGTGTGATGTTTGAGAAAAAATAAATAAATAAATAAACGCAATCATTGGCATAAATGTGGTCACTTCGTGACCCTGAAGTACTCTTAAATATATCTGCCGTTACAAGCAGCACACTAATGAACCACGTCTGATAATGCTATTGTTTAGGCTTGGGACTTCATTATTGCAGTCACTCTTTGCTCTGGGTGCCTATATGCAGCAGCATCGCACTGTTTGGAAATGTTAATGGAAGGCATTTAGGATCACTTGAGATTCACACAAAGGATCGTGTTCAGCCATATGCTGATGCCTGAGGAGCTTGGTGGCAGCGCTCTGCAGAAGAAGCACCATTTGTCAGGGTTGGTGTCTTGTCTTTGTCTGTCTTTGTCTAGAGCGTCCCCGCCTTTTCAATGATGTCAACGTCAAGGGGTTTATGACATTGCATGGAAAGTACTATATGAATGTAGATGGGAAAAGGCATAGTGGAGAGCAAGGAGCCAACATAGAACCAAACCGGGGTTAATGGAAGGACCAACATCTTGATGTGACACACAAAGATTTTCACCAGCCACATGGACAGATTCACAAATAAGGGGAAGTCCGAACTCCGAAAACGACAAATAAAGGACGAAAACACACTGCATGTGTCACAAAATTATAACTTTTCAATTAAGGCACATGCTGAGTACTGAGCTGCACTACAACAGCCCTCTGTGTGTGTCTTGAATATTTAATGGTATGCTGTGATCTAGTGACAAACCTCTTCTTGTTTTTGTTGTTTTATATATACATATATATATATATACACACAAGGCTGGTGCACTAACTATTCTTTCTGCCTGGGAATGCACGTACAATATCCTACATGGCCACAGACCCGAATTTACAAATGAACACAACTGTACCATGTGCATGCACAAAGCAGGTATGAAGCAATAACAGGGCTTTAGGTGATGCTGACACATGCAGTGTGTTTCTGGCTAAAGCATTTGTTTCTAAGAATGTGGTTTCCATTAGAGTGAAGTGATTCTTTTTTTTCAGACTGCGATTTAATAAAAGGGTTACCTTTGTGCCCCATCAAAGCTGCCCCATATAATGCTGTTTTCAAAGCAAGGTCTTATTCATGAGAGAAACAGTGCAGTGCTGCTTAGATATTTTTCATTTAACACACACATAAATTCTGGCTCAAGTCGCAGCATAGAGTGATTGGTCTCTGTTCAGCAGTAAGACACAATTTAAAGGTCTCGGGTATTTATAATCTGCTGGAAGGTTTGCCACATGCTTGGCTGTAATAGTTCAGATCAGTCCAAGACACGACATCTATCTCACTCACATGTTCTCTCTGAACACCTATCATTACGAATCACACTCCTGCAGAAATCCCCGAAGAACTAATTAAGGTTGTACAAGCTGAGAAAATGAGATACAATCGATGCTCAATTTCCTGTATTGTGATGGATCGCGATATCATCGTTATTTCTTTTCAGGGTTACAGATAAAACTGATTAGTTAATGATAATACGAATGAGAAAAGCATACTGGCTGTGGGGCCGGAGGGTGTGTGGGGGTAAACTGAGGCCATTTAACTCGTCTGTCATTGCACATCAAAGTTCTAAGTAGCAGGTCATTTTTTTGAAGTCTTTCTTTCATCTATTTTCTAAAGCCTTATTCTGCTCCAGACACAGAGTGCTCTCTGTGGAGAGAGTCTCAGTCCAATGCAGTGCCAAACACAGAGTTCATGTCTATCACAAGACACACTAGTAAAGTCAAATCAAATACTTCATTAAATTCTATATGTATATATTCTGGAATAACTAAATGCAAGAATATATGTAGGATTCCTCGTTTAGTTCCCTAATGCTTTATAAACAGATCTTTTTGCAGAGAAGATGTGAAAGAAGGCATCCTTCAACACCATCCTTCCTGTTAGACGGGCATATATGACTAGATTTATGGGAGAGCCCATTTCATTTAGTGTGTATATGTCTTTGGACCATCTTTTTATGCACATTGTCAACAATCCCTCCTCGATCCGTCCTCACAAACAGAGATTTGCAGGCAGTACACACCGAAGAAACAGTGGTAGTGAAGAATGCAATGTAAGTCTAAGGGATGAGAAAGCCAGTGATTTGATTGATAAAATCCTCTTAGAATGTAGAGCATTCAAGTCAGCGTGCCAACTTTAAATTTAATTTCTTTCCGACAGAACGTGAGCTTGTTGCGAAAGCATTCATCGTATTTATCCATTGGTTTGTTCCAGCGTACCTCCATTGATCTCACCCTCCCCTGACCCTCATTGTGTTTTTCAGTCTGGTCACTGCAGCCAAGGAAGAAAAGACAGACGAGGGTCTGAAAACCATCTGCATGAATGTCAACCATGGACGACAGAGAGAAGCAGGCAAGACAAAAGTCCTATAAACTCCCAGCAGTTCCTCCTGACCAGGGCTGACCAGGTCTCACTATTTAAAGCATTCCAAAAGATGGCAATGGACAAGAGCCAGTATTATAGAAAATGTAATGCTGTCATTAAAAATTTCCATTAAAGTAGAATAGGAAATGTCTGTTCTGGCTTGCTCTCCTTATCCACGTCTTAATGCTTTCAGATGGAAGCATTTGTCAAAAGAAGTCATTTTGCATTTAGATTCAATAACATAAAAAGACGTTCAAGGGAAACCTCCCTGCTCTCTGATGTGTTTCCACAAAACCCCTCTTCCTAATGACTTCTATTTTAGATGAGATTATTTCCTTCTTCCGACTTGTAGCTGTATTTCTGCTACATGTTTCTCCATCGTCTAACCCAGAAATCCAAAATGTCAGCCTCGGGGATTGTTTAATTGCTCTTTCCGAATCCTTTGAACTCCACTGCAATCAGACCATTCCAACTTCAGCTACTGTTCACCGTGAAATTAAAAAAGGTATCTGTCTATCACAGGATTCCCTGGAGCCATCCAACAATAAACAAGTCCGTGTCCTAAAATCTTTGATCTACAAGAGAATTAGGGGTGAAGCCAGACACAACACTAATGAAGCAGATGCAGTGAGCATTAGAAGTAATCTAAT